GGTGGCGGGAATGCATTGAGCTGTGCCTCAATGCTAGAAGTGCGGTAGCTAGTCTCAAGTGCGCGGAAATGAGCGCCAAGGTCAGCGATAGTGGGGAAGGAAGCAAGAACGGGGAATAGCATGGGGAGGATCAGGCGGCCAGCAGAGGCTGAGGAGGGAGTGGGATAGCGCCCAATGACCGCATCTAAGTATTCCTTTGCATTTGCTAGAGCAATAAAGTGGGGACGCTTAGAAAGGGGAAGGGTGTAACTAATGGCAAGCTGTGCGACTTCGTTGCACGACTCCCAAACAGCGCGCGCAAGCTCTGAAGTGGCAAAGGTATCACGCTCAGCAGACGTGGGGGCGTCAGGGAGGGCAGTAGGCACGGTGGGGCAGGGGAGCTTACCGTCGACATGGACGGCCAGGGAATAGCCGTCCTAGCGCTGACCTATCAGCTGGCGCGGAGGTCGACGAGCGACGCCTCAAAATCAACCGCTTGACCCTCCGCGTCCAGGCGGAGCACTGAGTCTGCCATCACCAAGGCTGCAGCAGCTGACTATCGCTGGAGGGGGCAGGAGAGCGGCGGAGCGGAGGAGAGCAATGGAGAGCTGTGGAGAGCGGTGGAGAGTGGTGGAGAGCGGTGGAGAGCAGTGGAGAGCGGTGGAATGCGATGGAGAGTGGTGGAGATAGTCGGTGGGAGCACCGGCTTAGAGGGGAGCCAAGGCCATCGGGTCAGTGCGACTGAGCGGCTCGGCGGCTCAGCGGCACGACTACACGGCGCCACTGTGGCTCGGCGGCACGGCTCGGCGGGAGGTAGGGCCAGCGCGGGCTGGGACTGGCGGAGCTGGGGCCCGACGAAGCTGGGCGCCGACGTAGCTGAGGCCGGCAAAGCTGGGGCTGGCGGAGTTGGGGCCGCCGTAGCTGGGGCCGGCGAATCGGGGGCCGGCGGAGCTGGGGCCGGCGTGAGCGCGGGGTCAGTACGTTAGGGCTGGCTTGCTGGGGGTCGGCGAGCAGGGGGTCGGCAAGCGAGGGGCCGGCGAGCGCGAGATAACGCACAAGGTGAGCATAATAACGCACATGGTGTGTGTTTCTCGGCAAAGTGTAGCATGCTAATTTTTGCTACACATCATCACATTCGTTACTATCACAATATATGCTTGTGTTTTTGTCAAACAATTGTACGACAATTTTTACAATTAGTGTAGCATCATTTTATCAACACAATAGGCCGCATTCTCCTATCGAAACTAATACAGCGCATTTTGCCGCGCATTTTTCACCTATCGGAACTTTGCGCAGCACGAGCATTCTGTTAGATCGTGGTATGGATTGGGTGGCACTTCGTAGGCACAGAAGAGGGCAGACCCGAGGCAACCCCTGTTAAAATTATATAAGTTATAATTTATATAGGCTTGGTAGGTTGTTACTGAACCTTTCTGTAGGGGGTACAAACCCCTCCTTGTACTCCCCTCTCTTCTAATCCAACACCTTTTCCTCTCCTCAACTTTCCTAGCACCTAAAACCTCTCGCCATTCTCATGGCTCCTCCTAGCTCCTAGCTAAACCTTGTGCCATTCTATGGCTTCCTAGCTAAGCTAGTTTCTGACATGGTATTAGAGCAGTTCGTTCCGTGTGGGCCTGCTCCTCGCGTTTCCGCTGCGTGCTCGTTTCTCTCTCTATCTCGCGCTGCCATGGCGGCCGCGTCAAGCTGCTGTGGCCGCGTCGTCGTGCCGCGGCGCCGCTGTCGACGTCCATGGCGCCCGCGTCCAGCTGCTGTGGCCGCGCCGTCGTGCCGCAGCTCCGCCGTCGCGTCAAGTTGCTGTCGCGACGTGACGGCGCCGTCACGCTGCCGCGGCGTCTACGCGACAGCGCGCAGTCGGCGTACCAGCGACGTCGTGCTGCCGTCGCAGCGTCGACGCCCCGCTGCGGCATCGACGCCGCTCCATGACGGCGTCGTCGGGCTGCAGCCGGCCGCGTGACGCTTGTGGCGCCGCTAGACCGGCCGCCCGCATGTCAGCCTGTGGCGCCGCCCCCCCCCCCACCCCCCCTCCTTCCCCTGCGCCCTCTTCCATTCCGCAGACGACGGCTGACTCCCGCCGGCCGTCCCACAGTCGCGGGGCCAGGCCACGTCACCGAGAGGTGCGGGTGCCGCCGCCGCTGCCGCTGTTGTCGAAGCCGCCGCCGCCGCCGCTGTCGCCGCTTGCGTCGGGGCCACGCAGCCGCACGCCGCCGCCGCCGCCGCAGTCGACACTGCCGCCGCTGCCGCCGTCGCCGCCGCAGCCCCTGCGGTCGACGTCGCCGCCTCACGCGCCGTGGGGTCGACCGACCTAGAGTCGCTGTCACTGTGGCTGGAATGGGGGTGCTAGGTTAGGGGGTGTGGGTGTGTGTGGGTGTGTGACTACCAAGCCTAGGGGGTGTGTTAAAATTATATAAGTTATAATTTATATAGGCTTGGTAGGTTGTTACTGAACCTTTCTGTAGGGGGTACAAACCCCTCCTTGTACTCCCCTCTCTTCTAATCCAACACCTTTTCCTCTCCTCAACTTTCCTAGCACCTAAAACCTCTCGCCATTCTCATGGCTCCTCCTAGCTCCTAGCTAAACCTTGTGCCATTCTATGGCTTCCTAGCTAAGCTAGTTTCTGACAACCCCTACCTCCAACTGCCCCCGACACGTTGTTATGCGCATTTAGGGTTACCTCCTGAGGGTAACCTCGAGGGTTCCCTGGGGTTGGTTGGAGGTTGAATTTTCGACCCCTCTTTTTTGGGACGTGGCAGCGAGTTGGCTAGCACTGCTGGCTGCGCGCTGGCTAACGCGGCTGGCGAGCTAGCTGGTTAACGTGCTGGCTAGCTGGTTGGCGCGTTGGCTGACGTGCTGGCTAGCGTGCTGGCCGGCGTGTTGGTTGGCGCGTCGGCTAGCGTGCTGGCTGGCGTGCTGGCGAGCGTGCTGGCTGGCTCCCCGGCCTGCTGGCTGCCATACGAAACTGTCAAAAGACCCGTTGGGGTTACCCTTGAGAAGATCCTCGGGGAAGGGCACAGGTGCAGAGTCTGGGGGCTATGGGCGCACTGACCCGCTATTAACAAGCCCTTTTAACTCAGTGGTTAGTGGCTGAGTTTCTGACACGAGAGACCCGCTGGGATTACCCTTCAGAAGATCCTCGGGGAAGGGCCACAGGTGTGGAGCCAGGGGGGCTATGAGCGCACTGACCTGCTATATTATCAAGCCCTTTCAACTCAGTAGTTAGTGGCCGAGTTCTGACAGAAACAGCGCGAACGCTAGGGGGAGGGTGTCGAGGCTACAGAGCGCGAAATTGGAGGGCAGGAGGTTTTGCAAAATTGAGAGAGTTGCACACGCGTGAGAAAAAACAAACAAACAAACAAACAAAACCAAACAAAAACAAAACAAAAAAAGCAAAAACAAAAAACAAACAAACAAACAAACTACAGTAGTAACGGTGGAAGCATGAGTAACGGCAAAGCGTGAGTAACGACGGAAGAAAAATCCAACCTAGCTCAATACCATGTTAGAGCAGCGGGAAAAATTGTGACTAAGAAGAGGGGAAGGGAGATACACATACAAGAATATTGTCGTCTCTAAGATTTGCTCTAGCTAGGCTATAACAAACATACCTAAACGAAATAAATATGTGCAGACAGAATTGTATGTTTGTCGACAAAGGGTGCTTTGTACGCGGTTATGAGGCGTTACATGAAATAGCAGTAAGTAGGTAACAGATGTACAGGAAGTAGTCACATACGACTCGAATCCCGACCAAATATGGCTGATTTGACCCAATAAAACACAACCAGTGCTCTTGTCCTGGCACAGACTTGTTTGCTGCGAAGCAGGAACCAACCAATGAGAAGAAGGGGGTTGTGGTGAGTTGCTTACTGTATCTCTTTGGAAGGTTTAAAAAACGAGCTGCAAGCAAGCACCGTACGGCATGATTCCCGGCACAAAATATATGAACCACAAACGAAATGCTGAAGAATTTAAGAACATGGGTGCATGGACATACACCCACCTGGCGTACACCGAGTACCAGAGCCATTGGGTGGACCGGCCAATGCTGTTGTCTCAGACCCGAGAGGGGCGAACTGCCCCCAATGCACGTAGCTGGGGAAGGATGGGGGGAGGGAAGACGAATCATGCAATATGGACAGAACCAAGAAAGTTTGCCCCAGCAGGTGGAAGCGCTGCTGCTATAGTCTCTGACCCCAGAGAGGCGAACTGCCCCAAATGCACGTAGCTGGGTTGTGTGGGCAGAGGGAGATGAGTTACCAGCAGATGGGCAGAAAAAAAAAGGGGGGGAGGGGGGAGTGAGTGGTGGCTCTGACCAGGAGGGGGCAAACTGCCCCCAGTATATGTAGCTGGGCTAGTCAGCGAGGGGAGGGAGATCGGCAGCAGAGAGGGTGACAGAATCAACGAGCCACATACTCCCCCACTAAAAAAACCTACTACCCTTTTAAGCTCACCGGAATGGCTGCAGCAGGTGCCTCCCTTTCCCTCTCAGCTTGGCAGGCACCTCGGGCTTTACCCGAGGTCCAGCAGGCGGTTGACGCACCGCGCCACGTACTCGCCCTGCTGCGCTGCCATCCAAGCTGTGACCAAAGCTGCGCCTAGCAGTTACTTAACTCACCGGAATGGCTGCAGCACGTGCCTCTCTTCCCCCCTCAGCTTCGGCGGCCCCTCCGGCTTCAAAGAGGGTTCCAGCAGGCGGTTGAAGCAGCGCGCCATGTACTCGCCCTGCTGCGCTGCCACCTGTGCCGTGGCCGGCAGCGTCTTCATCTGCCCCTCCACACCCCTCAGCACCGCCTCAAACTGCTCCAGCGACAGCCCCCTGCCCTCACACGCAGTCCCATCAATCTCCTTCCCCCCGCACTCCGCTGCCTGCCAGAGGTTCGCCCTGGGAGCCATTCTCTCCGTGCATTGCGTCCTGCCAGGGCCATGGATGGACGAGTAGTTGCGTGGGGGAACAGCAAAGAGAGAGAGGAAGCGGGATGATGAAAGGAAAGGATGTGGATTTTGTGCCTAGGGAGTGTGCCTGCATGCGAAGGATGCGTGCCAGTGCACCTGAATGAGTCGGTTCATCCGGTCTCGTGACTTGAGCACAGCAGCAGCATGCGGGTAGCGCTCCCGCAGAGCAGCGATTGCCGCTTTGGTCTCGGAGGGTGAGAGGCAGCCATCGCCGTGGTGTCGAAAGAACGGAAGGTGCGTGCTGTCTCGTCCTGGAAACACAGTAGTGATACGAGATGATGTGGTGGTGTGGGGGAGTGGGGGGGGGGAGGGGAGAAACAGAAGGGAAGTCCATCCCTGTTAGTGTCAGCGAAGCGAAAAGATGCGCGATGTCTCCCAAACAACTGAGTGACGATGTGAGGGGATCGAGGAGGGTGGAGAGAAGGCAAGAGGAGAGTGCAAGAGAAGAGATAGCCATGGTCGTTGGTGTAGTGTCATAGAAGGGAGAGATCTGAAGTGTCTTGTTCTCCAAAGAGCAGGCGAGAACAAAAGAACAAGATGGAGGAGGGGTGGGGGAAGGTGTTGGGGGTGTTGTGTCGGTGGGGTGTTGTGTCGGTGGGGTGTTGTGTCGGTGGGGTGTTGGTGGGTGTTGTGTTGGTGGGGTGTCGGTGGGGTGTTGGTGGGGTGTTGTGTTGGTGGGGTGTCGGTGGGGTGTTGGTGGGGTGTTGTGTTGGTGGGAAAGGGTGCTGATAGGCAGAGAGAAAGGCAGATCTACATGCTGCCTGCCTCACCACTGCATGGGTGATTCAACCTTACTCACAGTCAACGGTCGGCGAGCAATGGCAGCACAGTGGCCCAGCGCCCATATGCTGCCCGCCTCACGTAGAGGCCGTTCCACATGCTGCCGGCCCAACACGGTGCGGTAGAGTGTCACATGTGCATGCCTGTGAGGAGCAACTCACAGTCCACGGCCGGTGAGCAACAGCAGCACAGCTGCCCAATGCCCACATGCTGCCGGCCTTACATAGTGGCTGTTCCACATGCTGCCCGCCTCACATAGTGGTTGTTCCACATGCTGCCGTAGAGGGGAAGCATGTAACTAACTCACAGTCAGCGGCCTGTGAGCGATGGCAGCACAATCGCCCAGTGCCCACATGCTGCCCGCCTCTGCGCCCCTCACTGCCATCCACTCGTCCACCTCCAGAGCTCGCTTGTGGTGCTGCGAGAGAGGGGGGGGTTTGGGAGGGGAGGGAGATGAAAAGGGAAACCGATAGCAGAGGACATGTAGGAAGGGACGGGCTTGGTTGGGCCAGGCCCAACCCCGACGCTTCCCCTGGACTGCGGCATCCAGGCGGGCCCGAGGCAGTCCCTGGATCTCCCACCGAACATGCCAGCAGCGCTCCCCTCTCTGCCATCCGTTCAGCCAACATCCAGTGCTTGCTTGTGGTGCTGCAGGAGAGAGGTGGCTTAGTGAAGGGCGTCAAGAGAAGGGACAAATGAGAGGGGGATACATGAGTGAATAGCGCACAATTAATCTCCTCCACTCCCCTACGTGTCGCCCACCCACTTCCTGCCATACATACACCCCCATCTATGTACCCTAGTCGCGCATGCATTCATCGCTTGGAGCATGATCCCCAGGCATGTGCCTCCAGGAAGGAGCAGCAAAGGTCACAATTCGGCATGAACAGGTGGGACACCACCACGGCCACCACACGGCCTTCACACCACGGCCACCACACGGCCTTCACACCACGGCCACCCACACGGCCTTCACACCACGGCCACCACACGGCCTTCACACCACGGCCACCACACGGCCTTCACACCAGGGCACCACACGCCTACACACCACGGCCACCACACGGCCTTCACACCACGGCCACCACACGGCCTTCACACCACGGCCACCACACGGCCTTCACACCACGGCCACCACACGGCCTTCACACCACGGCCACCACACGGCCTTCACACCACGGCCACCACACGGCCTTCACACCACGGCCACCACACGGCCTTCACACCACGGCCACCACACGGCCTTCACACCACGGCCACCACACGGCCTTCACACCACGGCCACCACACGGCCTTCACACCACGGCCACCACACGGCCTTCACACCACGGCCACCACACGGCCTTCACACCACGGCCACCACACGGCCTTCACACCACGGCCACCACACGGCCTTCACACCACGGCCACCACACGGCCTTCACACACGCCACCACGGCCACCACACGGCCTTCACACCACGGCTACCACACGGCCTTCACACCACGGCCACCACACGGCCTTCACACCACGGCCACCACACGGCCCCATAAGGCACCTCCCTCGTTCCGCTGCTCTCCATGCTGCTGTCGCTGCTGCTGCTGCTGTCCGTGCTGCCAGTGCTGGCTACGAGCCGCAGGCCGGCAATACCTGCTGCCTTGGCGTCTCCTTTCTCATTACCCCTGTCCCTGTCCCTGTGACTGCCTGCGTGCCCCGAGTCCCGCACTGAGAGCGAGCGCGGGTTGACAGCTGTGACCCGCGCGTGCGTGCGCACCGTGATGCCGTCCCGCTGGAACTTGCGGGCGGCGAAGTCAGATATGCGCAGGTCAAACCTGGTGGAGGGAAGGGGGCGAGATGGGGTGATGAAGAGGGAGAGACAGAAGAGGTGTGCGCACCGTGATGCCACAGGTACCCTCAATATGCTCAGGAGAAACCTGAGCGGGACAAGGATGGGCGTGGGAGGGTGGATGTCGAGGCGAGGAGGTGCCGGCCGGGGGACGGGAAGGGGGGAGGGAGAGTGGGGGAGAGTGGGGGAGAGTGGGGGAGAGTGGGGTAGAGCGGGGGTGAGGGGGGCTGCGGGGGTGAGCAAGGGTGAGCGGGATAGACCATTTCCCCTTAGTCCTCTTCTCACGTACACCCACTTGACCAACGCCGCCCAGGAGCATGGCATCGAACACGTTGAGGATGTGGTCTCCCGACTGCACAAGAGAGACTGATGCTCTCCCCTTAAGTGTGGGTTACAGGCGGTGGAGATCCTCTGTCATGTAGCCATGTGACCCATGCACCCATGTGACCCATGCACCCATGTGTCCCATGCACCCATGTGACCCATGCACCCATGTGACCCGTGCACCCATGTGACCCATGCACCCATGTGAACCATGCACCTCATCTCACATGTTCAGAATGTGATCCCCTGACTGCAGCAACGAGATGGACCCCTTCCCCTTGAGTGCAGGGCACAGGCGGTACAGACAGGTCCTCCCTCATCATGTCATGCACTGCTGCTGCCACCTCCACTCCCGTGGGGCCCCCTCCCACCACCACTATGTGCAGCAGCGTGGGGGTTGGGGAGGAGAGGAAGGCGGGTGGGGGGGTGATGAGAGTGTGCACAGGGGGCAGAGGCAGGGATTCCCAAGAACGTGAGGCACCACTGCTGCTGCCTCCTCCACTGCTGTCGCGCCCCCTCCCACCACCACTATGTGCAGCAGCCTGCAGTGGGGGAGAAACCAGGGAAGAAGGGGGAGAGGAAGGGGAGGGGAGGGAGAGGAGGGCTTTGCACTCCTGTGACGCCGCCTCGTACTACTAGGTGACTTTGGATTCGAGTCAACATTCACCACCTTTGCTGCCACCTCCCACCATCATTGTGTGCAGCAGCCGAGGAGGGGGGACGGTGAGGGGAGAGCGAGTATGTGCAAGAGCCCGAGGAAGTACAGAAGTGTGGTTTAGGGCGTGTATAAAGTAATCGGAAGACGCCGGATTAACTATTTTGACATCACGCGGGGACGTCCACACGGCGTCAAATTTGCTTATTCCGAGGGGTACACAAGCACATCGAACACTGACGAAATACAAAATGGCTCTGAAATTTCGTTGAGGGTCCCAAAACGAAGCCGTCATGTGACCAAAAGGGAATGGAAAACACATCCGGTAATGTGCGAAAACAACGAGGGATCGCACATGGCATTCGTTTCCAGTTCGCGACTTGGAGACGTGTGTGGCAATGTGCTGGCACTGCACGTGCGAAAACCGTGTGTCCCGAGCTGTTTCGTGCTTTCGCTGCATGCTTGGTTTTGTTTTCTTTACTCCTGCCCTCGAGAAATGCTTTGGGCAGGCAGTTGATGCGTTGGGACATCAGCTTGGCTCGGATGCGTGCAATTTTCCGATGAACACTGGCAGACATCTACAGTGTCTGTTATATGGTGGTAACCACCCTAAGCTCCCACTGACGTCCGGGGACGTCACTTTCGGATTCACTTATACGCGCCCTTAGAGAGGCGCCTCAAGAGCAGCCTGAGGCAACAGCAGTGGCGGAGTGGAAGGGGCAGCTGTCGAGCATGATGCGATCAGCAGCAGAGAGATGTGGGGCAGGGGAGAAGGACAAGGGCAGCATTGTGTGTGTGGAGTGGAGAAACAAAAGGCACGACCGGAATGCATGGCGGGGAACGACTGAGCCAGCCGAGCAGGGGGGGTGCTGGGGAGGAGGAGGAGGAGAGGGAGGGAGGGAGGGAGATTGGGGAAGAGATGCCGGAAAATTGCAGAACACGGAAGGAAGGTGCAGCATCTTACCTCTTTTGCTCTTCATCTTCTATCCCTGGCAGGCACGCCGCCTCGCAGCGATCAATGAGTGTGTTGCGAATGGCCTCTGCATCGTCTAGGGACTGATGGGGGGCGAGAGAGGGCAGAGAGAGCACACTCATGGGAGATGGCTTAGGCAAGGGAGGATGGGGTAAGAGGGGTGTGTGGTTATCAAGCCGTCTCGCAGGTATCAATGAGTGTTTTGCAAACCTCCCTCACTCCAGGTTGACTACCTTGAGGAAGTGGCAGTGCTCCTTCACTCCAGGCACGTTGAATGTGTTGGGCGTGGCCCCCACTGCCACCACCAGCATGTCGTACGGCACCGAGAACCGCACCTCCCTCACTCCCCCACACTCACCGCCCGCTCCCCCACTCTCACTCCCACTGCCACTCTCTTGCACGTGCGTATCCCCTTGTCCCCTCGCCTCACCAACAGCATCACCACCAGCAGCGCCAGCAGAACCACCAGGGCCATCGCTACCAGAAACACCGCCACTCCCTTTCTCTCCACCTCCTCCCCTCCCATCTTCCCCCCCCTGTCCTGCAATCGTCGACACAGTCGGCAGAGGCAGCGGAGGGGGCAGGTTGGCAGGGGCACGGCAGGAGAGGGTCTTGGTGATTGGGTCAATGGTTGTGCATTCAGCTTCGAGGAAACGAGCCGTGCTGCCGTGCTGATAGGACGAGGGGGGGCGGGAGATGGGGGAATGGACAGGTAATGGCAGGTGGGTAGGGGCGCGGCAGGAGAGGTACCTTCAAATCTGAACGAATGCTTCTCGGGCATTCAGCTCCTACGAAACGAGTTGTGCTGTCATGCTGATAGGCACGGGAAGAGAAGAGGGTTTAAGGGGGGAAGGTGGAGGGGGGGAGGGGGGATGGAGGCCTTGGAACCGAAAGACGGCATCAAGTTGGGGTCGATGCCTGTGCACTCGGGGAAACTAGCCGTGTGCTGACAGCACACGGGCCATATGCTGACAGCACACGGGCCATATGCTGACAGGAAGCGGAAGCTTGGCAGAAGGGGGGTTGGCAGGGCGAAGGGCGAAGGGAAGAGGGCAAGAGGAGCAGAGAGAGAAAGTGATGCTGCTGAAACGGGCTTTGAGAGGGTTTGATCAAGGAGAAGTCACCAGCATACAGACCCACTCGCGACAAATCGAATCATTCTCTGCATCGCGCATCAATCTTCTCATTCCCCCCTTCCTCGTCTTTCTCCCGAAAACCGGTGGTTCACGCAGCTTAACGAAAGTACTAGCACGTTACCACATACTCTTATCCATGACACCAATCGAACAACATTGCTACCAGCACTTCGTAACCAGCGCGTGATTGAAAGCTCACCCTCAATAGGATCCGCCTGATTGGTTCAGCAATGCTCCTGCCCTCGACCACTCCTGTCCTGTGGTGACACTTGGCAGCAGCGGGGTGAAGAGGAAGAAGTTGCAGGGCGAGATGATGGTGACGTCATACGCCCTGGCGTCTATGGCTTTGAGGAAGCTCACAGCGCCCCACCCAGACCCCAGCATCACCACACGCTTCCTGCCCGTGGTGGGATCACTGAAGGTGCTCTCAGCAGCGCTGTCACTGCTGCTGATGCGTGTAACACTGCAGCTGCTCCCGTTGCTCCCAGCCCCACCAGCGCCACCAGATTCAAAGTGGCTGGAATTTGACTCGTTACCATAAAATCCGCTGCTATAACCGATTGCAGGCACGTCGGCACACGCCGCTCGCGGCAGCAGCCATTCCCCGTGCCTCTGACCCCACGCATCCGCCATCTCCCCCCCTCCAACAGCCGCTCCCTCCCTCCCCCCCATCACCACCGCCACAGCAGCACCCGCCCCTGCAGCGCCCGCAGCCAGCAGCATCCCCACCACCCGCGCCCTGCCTGGCGAAACTCCTCCCCACACCCGCACACTCCTAAGGGTGCTGCTGCCCTCTCCCCCTGCAGCCCCATTCACACCCTCGACCCGCTCCACCCCCAAGGGCATGCGGAGCCCCCGGCTTCGCCCCATGAGACCAAGGCTTCCCGGGGCCCATCGCCACCAGCGGCTGCCCATTCCCGCTCAAGTACCTGCTGCCGCCTCGCCTGCCGTCCTCCGCCCTCCGCCGCTCCCTGCTACTCCGCCGCTCCCTCCTGCTCCTGCAGCTGCTCGCACGCACGCCCCTCCCTCCTCGCCCTTCCTCGCCGCTGCTACTTTCGGCCCTCAGCACGGCTCCCTGTGCATCCGGGGCAGAAGACGATCGTACTAATATCGGAGTGAACGGACCGACAAAGCAACGATCCAGGGTGTCTCAACGTATTGTCTGTCTCTCGGCGACGTATTGTGTCCAAGCATTCAATAGAGCCCCTGTGAGGCCACTGGCCCGTTCGATACCACCGCCCCATTCCACCGTTAACACTCCCCCGAGACACATCTGGTTCTCCCTGGGAGCCTAGAGTGGCTACCGGACGTCTCGCCCAAGCTCTGACTGAGCCTGATCATCGTCCAATAGGCGGTCTGTCCGGTTCGGGTGGCCGACAGATAAGGGCTCGTCCCGAGGCTGTATTTTCGTCCCAAGGCTCGGAACTCCGACGCTGCCGTATTCATAACCCTTCGACATGCCAAGCGCGCAAGCCCGGATGCCGCGCGGGCGAATCCAAACCTCCAAAACTTGGCCCTGAATTTCATTGGATCCCCAAACCTGGTGGCGTCGCTGGCTGCTTGCCGCTTCTGGCTCTTCGGCTACTGCCAGGAAAGCGAGCGTCGGACGTGTGCGCCGAATCTGGGCTCGCCAGCTGCTGGTTCAGCTCGTAATCGAAGCAGGTCACTGGCAAGGCTGCACGTGGCATGTGCATGCGCGCAGTGAAATCGCAGACTGCACCTTTCGCCAGGTGCGCCATTGTCATAGACGCAGAAAACGGAACCAGACTGTGCATTGTGGTACTAGATGTGTGAGGGCTTGTCACTAGAGCGGTCAAATAAAACTCTAGAACGGTTTAATATGGTATTTTGCCGAAACGACTTTTAGTGACACGCCCTAATGACGGATAGTGCAGTTTGCAACAACGCGAATGTGGTGTCAAACGGAACAGAGCACGAGTGACGTTGTTGCACACTAAGGGCGTGTCAGTAAGGCACGTGCCTTGTTCAACGAGTTTGGTTACCACTTTTGGGTTTGTAACCATAAAACATGCCCGAACAAGACACGCCCAGCTCACGCCCGAAATCAGCGGACACCGGCCTAAGTTTCCAGGACTGTTGGGCTGAGAAAAGCCCTTAGGATCCTTCCAGAGACTAAGTCCCAGTTGAAGAAATGAGACTTTGAGTAGTGCAGCGGAAGTTGAGGCAGTTGAACCCTTGTACTAGTATATGAGAACAAGTGATTGATTAAAGAAACAAGCATACAACAATATATAGAAGATAAGAAAGCAGTTGTAGAATACAGTTGCAGGAGCGGTTATCGAGTCGCACAGCGACTCGATTGTCGCTTCGGTTACCATCCGCGCTGTTGTAACGGTCAGTCGCAACCTCCAGTTGCAACCCTTCGAGTCCCTTCGCGTTCTTTGTTCGCCCCCTCGTGTAACCTCCGTTGACTCGCGTACCCATTGCAATCTTCCTCGAGTGTAGTGTTACACTTCAGAAACGCTTAAGTCCTTTGAGATATTTCCAACACTCCCCTTCGTTTCTGGAGTGCTGACGTGTTCAGATCCGGTGACGTTCGTCTGCCCGGTCAGCAGCATGCAGTAATCGATTTTTGCCTTCGCCAATTTCTTCGTCAGATAGTCTGCGGCCATTTATGTCGTAGGGCAGTAACTGAGTTGAAGTCTCCCCTTCGCGATTTCATCCTTGACGAAGAAGTACCGCAGGGCGATGTCTTTGGTTCGATTGGCGAAGCCGTCCTTGTTCGCGATTTTGATCGCAGATTGGTTGTCGCAGAGGAGTGAGAAGACGGGCAGGGTTGCAATTTTCGTTTCCTCTAGCAACTCTCGTAGGTAGATTCCTTCCTTGGTCGCAGTACAGAGGGCGATATATTCTGCTTCAGCCGAAGATACTGCGATTAGTTCCTGCTTGCTCGACTGCCAGGAGATAGTTCCGATAGGTTCTAGTCGGTAGATGTAGCCCGTTCTCGATCGTCGATTTCCCTTGTCTCCCGCGTGGTCGGCGTCGACGTATCCGAGTAGTTGTACGGATGATGCCGTTACTTTACTGTAGGTAAGCCCGGTCGTCGGCGTGGAGACGAAGAAGAGTAGTGCCCGATTAAGTTCCTCGAGATCTTCTTGTTCCGGCTGCTTCAGATGCGTCGCCAGTTGGCTCGCGCTATAAGATAGATCGGGTCGGCAGATTACTGCTGCGAATAGTAGGCAGCCGAGCTTCTGCTGATACTCCAGGATTTGCTTCGCGGGGAGTTTTGCGGAGGTGTTGTTGTTGTTCCCGTAGCGGTAGGGAGTCGGGACCGTGGTCGGCGTTAGACCGAATTTCTTCGCGACGGTGCCTGCGTACTTTCCAGCGTGTAGGTAGAGCGCCGAGTTGTCTTCGACGACATTCAGTCCCAGGTACTGGGTCACTGCGTCGGACACCGTGAGTGTCAAGTCCTCTTTCAGCTCCCCTTCGAACTAGGTGGCGATGTCGGTAGTGGAACCGATGTAGAGCAGGTCGTCGACGTAAACGATGAGTAGGATATACTCTCTTCCCTTTTGCAGTCGGTACATGCCTTGGTCATGCGGCAGCTGTAGGAATCCGATTTTTACGAGGCGACCGTGAAGATGCTGCTGCCAGAGCCGCGGGGCTTGCTTGATCCCATATAGGGATTTTACCAGCTGGCATACTTTCGTGGGGTCGTCGATGAATCCGTGGGGTTGCTCGACGAAGATCTCAGCGTCCACAGGTGCATACAGGAAAGCATTTGCGACGTCGATTTGGCGCAGTGGTAGTTTCTTCGTGGCCGCGACGGCGAGTAGGATGCGCAATGAGGTGTGACGGGAGACTGGCGCAAATGTTTCTGTGTAGTCGGTTCCGTATCGTTGATCGAACCCTCGTACGACCCATCGAGCTTTGAATCGTTCGGTGGAACCGTCTGCATTGGTCTTGATGCGGTACACCCATTTTCCCGAGAGGACGTTCTTCCCGTTGATGCTTGTTGCAAGTACCAGCTTCCATGTATTTCGGTCTTGTAGAGCCTTTAACTCCTTTTCCATCGCCTCCTTCCATTTCGCCTTATGTTCCCCCCCCAGAGCCTGCGACAGAGTCGAGGGCTCGCGCGGAGATGGCGGCGGCGGATGCTGGACGGAGACCCATAGGCCGAGTATCTGCAGTCCTGTTGGTGTGTGTCGAGGGGAATTTTCATTCCCGGAATAGGCTGCTTCGTCAGCGTCTTCTGGATCAGGTAAGAAGTTTGGGCCGATACGTTCTGAAACATTCGTGTCGACCGGGTGGGGTGTAACGTAACCTTGGTCAGCGAAGTGGTAAAAGGTGTCGAGGTTGTTGCTATCGAGAGGATTGTCTTCGTCGAGTGGAACAGGTACGGAACAGAAAGGGAGTGGTCCGGCAGCTTCCGAGGCTCCAGGTATGTCTTCTTCTGCTGCGTCAGCCTCGACAGCACGGTCGGCGAAGGAACGAAGGCCCGCGAAGCCGTCGGTGGGGTCATGTGTGTTGGCAATGTTGTCCAGGTAATGCTGCAGCGTCAGTCGCTCGTAGAAGATAACATCACGTGATGCCACTGTAGTTTTGTCTTGTATGTCGAGGATTTTCCATGCGTGAAAATGTTGTGCGATGCCGAGGTGTAGCCCCCATCGTGCTCGTTGGGTGAAACGTCCTGCTCTGGCTGTGTGGGGTCTGTACTGTACCATGCAACCGAAAACTCGAAGTAATTTTGTGCTGCCCCTTTTTCGTGTCCACAGCAGGTGCGGTGATGCGTTGTTGGGAAGTGATGACGAGGACAACAGGTTGTGCAGGTGGACTGCATGTGTCATCGCGTCTGGCCACAATGTGGTGGGCAGTCTCATCCCCAGGAGCAGCTTCCGCATCGTCGTCTGCAAGGTCCGGTTCATGCGTTCTGCGACCCCCTGCTGCTGGTGAGCGTAGGGCAGCCCAAGTTTCCAGGACTGTTGGGCTGAGAAAAGCCCTTAGGATCCTTCCAGAGACTAAGTCCCAGTTGAAGAAATGAGACTTTGAGTAGTGCAGCGGAAGTTGAGGCAGTTGAACCCTTGTACTAGTATATGAGAACAAGTGATTGATTAAAGAAACAAGCATACAACAATATATAGAAGATAAGAAAGCAGTTGTAGAATACAGTTGCAGGAGCGGTTATCGAGTCGCACAGCGACTCGATTGTCGCTTCGGTTACCATCCGCGCTGTTGTAACGGTCAGTCGCAACCTCCAGTTGCGACCCTTCGAGTCCCTTCGCGTTCTTTGTTCGCCCCCTCGTGTAACCTCCGTTGACTCGCGTACCCGTTGCGATCTTCCTCGAGTGTAGTGTTACACTTCAGAAACGCTTAAGTCCTTTGAGATATTTCCAACAAGGACAAAAATAGACCACAGAAAAATCCAGTTTGCCAACCAGTACCAGCACCACCTCTAGTGAAATTCTCTAGCGACACTTTGCAGCCTCGCACGTCGCTAACGAAGAGCCTACCCCTGCTGCGCGGATTGGCCCTCATTTTGTTATACGCGCATCGCGTAGGCTTCGCATGGCGGAACCCCGTTACCCGCTCCTATGTCAGTGCTGGTCTCGGTGCTGTCCTTTCGAACTGCACCCTTCATTTTGGACCTGTTCCCAAATCGGGATCTGTTTCAAAATCGATTCACATTGCGTACCGTCAAACGGCTTCGCGTGTCAAAAACGGAAAAACGATTTTTGGGGACACGCCCTAACATGAAAATAACTGATTCTTGAGGCTGTCCAATCAGGGAACTGAAACGAGTACCCAGTAGATCTATGCTCGCAAAATGTGACACGACCCCGTGGAAGTGGCCAGTGAGGCGAAACTGATATGCGCAAGCCCTGGATTTGACTAGCTCAGTTTGACTAAAGGTCGACAGAAAAACAAGCCCAACTCGAAATATATTCAATCTGAGACTACTTGTTTCACTTACCTGCCGCTCAGTGTTTTGGCATTTGCATTTGTTCAGATCCGCACAAGCTGTACCACGCTTGTGTTAAACTAGGATTCTAGGAGGAGGTAGGAAAAAGGCCGCCATGAATGTGGCGGCGGGGATTAGCTAGGAGGTAGACGAGAGTGTCGAGAGAAAAGAGGTTCCATTAGGAAGGGATTGTACCCTCTACAGGAAGGTTCAGTAACAACTATCAAACCTATCAATTATATATAATTTATATAATCTGAACAGCTTGTCCCTTGTCGTTGGACCGCTCTGGAAGTTCGAACCTTGGGCACGCTCACAAACCTGTAAGCGTGCCAGACTGACTGCGCTTTTGGCATCCCTTTACCGGATCCACACCAGGCCTCTCGATATCCGGGTAATTACCCTGCTTACTCAAGGAAAATAGGGTAATTTTTATGTACCACCCTGATTTCTATGCATCCAGATTTGAAGTACACGTCCACTAGCAGACTAGGCAACAACATTCCACGTCCGATTTCCGAGTAGTGGAATGCATCGCCCTATAACATCTGTCTGTAAGGCCTGGTTATCCAGCTAGAAACCCCTCCTCTCCGTTGAGGGAGGGATTCGGGCAAAACCGCTCCCGGAATCCCAAGTGGCCCATTTGGGTTTTCGGCAAGCGCGCCAGACCCTGATTGGATGTTGCAGCTGTCAAACATGTGTATTTGTCATGTTTGTATAGACTGTATAGGGTCGCCTCTTAGAGAGTACAACACTTAGGTATATCTGTGTGTACTCTCACCCTATCTACACTTCACTTCTCAAATTTTGATATGGTAT